AGATAATGGCAGCTGCTGTAACAAATAAACCCAAATCTCTCAAACATAATACATACCTTCACTAAACATTCATCATGGACAGGTGACAACCTGTGTGCAGGGATCTGAAGGAGACAGGGCTGAGGAAGAGAAATAGATGTTCAGGGAAGAGGGTCCCTTTGTGCTCCCCCACCAAGAGAGACGGAGCAGTACAACGTCAGAGCTCAAGCATGATCCAGAGGTACAGCATGGTGGAAACTGACCAGCCACGGGGGAAGGGAGTTTTCAAAGAGAGAAACAAGATGCAACTCAGCCTAGAAAAAAGAGCAGAAATTAAGGTTAACGTGGCAATAGTCCCCTGCACGCGGCTCATCCCAGTTTACGGAGCGTGTTCACAGGTATTATTTTAGGCCTCACAAACAACCCGATCAAGTGGCTCAGGAATATTAGTGCCTTTATTCCAAATACGCAAGAGATCTCCACAAAGGCTGAGAGGCTATGTGATTTAGCCAGGTGAGCAATGAGCCAAGGTGCAGGTGTGGGTGCCCTGCCTCTGAGAACAGAGCTTCCTCCCATAACTCTGTGATCCTCAGGGAGGTTTCAGGGACTGCTGGGGCCAGGGTGGCTGAGGAGGTGAACAGAGGGCCCCTGCCTTCCCCTCCCCCACGTCCTCCGGCCGCATCCTCGTGGTGCCAGCCATGTTCCCATGGAAATCACTTACCAAAGGCAGACCGTTCAGAAACATGGCAGCAATTAGCTGTAGCCCGGCTGGGTTCTTGCTTTGGTAAAACCTGTACTGTCCTTTAAAGGGGTCACAGTTTAACAAACAGGCCTTTTTAATCTTCACAATGGTCTCATCAGGCTTTCATTCATTTAGCCACTCCCTCCTCTTTTGCCGGCTCCCTCTCCTGCACCTAGCGCCTTCCTTTTCACTCTGTGCAGATGGATTTGGCCGATGCCAAATCATGTTCTATTCACAGCCTGAGAAAGAAAGAATACAAGGTGTCAAGCCTGGCCAACAAAGGACCTGCCCTACCAGTGCAATCTGATGTTCAAGTTTACACAGACACACCACCCCCCACGGGCACTGTGGTTTTGTCCTGAACAATCCCAGACAGCAGAATTCTTGGCTGAACCAGGAAGACATGTTCCCACAAGAGCAGCAGTGTTGATAAGAAAGCGGTCGAATTGGTGCTTGAAATTTTGCAGAAAGACCAGTGGAAGCCCAGTTAGGCTGCAAACCGACAGCTCAGCTCTTTCCAGCGTCCACAGCAACAGCCTGCTGTTTTCCCAGGTGGCCCTAAAGGAGACAGGGAAATGCAGTGGGCCATTTGTCACTGCCCCTGCTGCAACATATGTATGCCAATTGGTGCATGCAGCCTACACAGGCCCACTCCTGCCCCAGGCCCGGTCTAGGCCTCTGTGCTTCCTTTTGACTGAGACTGGGGACAGTCTCCTCCTCCTCCACCTGGGGAGATGACTAGATCCACTCTTGTGGGGTCAGAACCAACTTAGCCCTTCCCACCATGATCTCAGGTGCCCATGCTCTGCATAATCCCTTCTATCCAATTTTCAATTCAAGATATGATCTTGTAGGGGCACCCGTGGGTGGTTCAGTGGATTAAGTGTCTGACTCTTGATTTTGGCTCAGGTCATGATCTCGTGGTCGTGGGATCAAGCCCCACCTCAGGCTCCATGCTGAGCATGCCTGGAGCCTGCTTTAGATTCTCTCTCTCTGTCTCTCTCTCTCTGTCTCTCTCTGTCTCTCTCCCTCCCTGTCTTTCTGCCCCTCCCCTGCTTGTGCCGTCTCCCTCAAAATAAATAAATAAATATTAAAAAAAAAAAAAAAGACATGATCTCTTCAAAGTGTGTGAACTCATCATGGGCATGCCAGGCTTGGTACCTCAAGATTATGCTGATGCATGGTGGTCTGTGAATATGGTGGTGTATTCAGTGAGTGCTGGACTGGAGCATCATATCCATCAGGTCCCAAGTTGGGTTCAGGGCTTGCTTGCAGGAGAAGGCAACATAGAGGAGCCTTCCTTCCCTTTATGCTCAACTCCGTGCCCAGCACCCACTGTGAATGAAATGAACTGATCAGACCGCTGATGATCCCTTTTGCCTTTGAGAAGGGAAATTAAATGATGAAGTATATCACCCAGAAGTGAAATTACAGATATAAAATAAGTTTAAAGGGAACTCTACTTCGTGAATTGTTGTAAGGGCATTTTATTGCAGATTTAGGTCATATATTTAGAATTGCTTCCTTTGATGAGAACTTAATCTGGGTTATAAGTGAACGAACTTGGGGACATTGTGTGCCTGAGTGATGTCCCGTCACTAGAGTTAGCTTAATTACTGACTGCCTGGGTCTCATCTTCTCCCTCTGTGCATCTCTCCTCTGCCTCCTCCCCATGCCATCGAGCATAGGGAGGGAGCGTTTGGTCCTAGGAGTTGAAGTTATGCAGAACCTGAAAATAGACTCATAGAATGCATCCAGACATAATGATTCCATGCGGCAAGAAGGTCACTGTGTCTGCTTTTCCTGCCAACACACCCCTGGCTCTTTATCTATGGCTGCCTTGTGAGGCAAGAGAGCTGTGCCAGGAAGTTACACTTGGTGACTAGGAGGCATTATTAGAATTTAAGATCGCGTCAATGGGGTTTTATAAGAGCAGGGATAGGGAAGGGGGAGTAGACAGAGTTTTAGAAGTCGGTCTTTGAACATCCTTTTGTTCTGTGGCCTGAGAGCTACTATAACTCAATTACTAAAAAAAAAAAAAAAAAAAAAATCTGGCCTCAGTTACAAATCAACTCCGCCCTGTCAACCCTGCCAAAAATTAAAAAGACATCCACCCAGAAAGTTTACTGTGGTTATCCAAGTGGTGGGATCATCTGTGAGTCGTGTTGTTTTCTTTGTACTTTTCTGTACTTTCTATAACATACATTTCTGGCTTTTACAGTATTAAAAACAAACAAACAAAGGCAACAAATCCTATTTAAAAAGCAAAACCAGGGGTACCTGGGTGGCTCAGTTGGTAAAGTGTCCGACTCTTGGTTTCAGCGTAGGTCATGATCTCATGGTTCGTGGGTTTGGGCCGCGCTTCAGGCTCTGGGCTGACAGCGCGGAGTCTGCTCGGGATTCTGTTTCCCTCTCTCTCTGCCCCTCCCCTATGCATGCTCAAAGTCCCACTCTCTCTTTCTCAAAATAAATGAAGAAACTTTTAAAAAATAATAAAAAATAAAAAGCAAAACCACACTGGCTAATTATCCGGGTGTGTCCTTGACTGCCCAGTGCCTGGTGGTTGGAAAGCCCACCAGGGAGGTGACGACAACATGTGGGGACAGCCCTGCCTGTGTCCCTACATTGGGCCTCTGACCAGGGCTGGTTGTCCACTACCCCGTCCTCACTTCCGGCTTCCAGAGGTCTCCCAGGACAGGCCAGATCACAAACACTAAGAGCAATGGTGACGGCCAAGGACAGGAACAGGAACATGCTGGAGCAAGGCCAGCCAGACACCTCAGCACAAGGAGGGGATTCCGTTCCTGTCCAGTTGCCCCTGATGGCCAGGCTCCTTGACATGTGCTTTTCGGGAGGGATAGTGTCAGTTCAAGTTCACCTGCAAGCACTATGTTCTCATCCTAATAACAGCCAGTAGATGCAGATTGTTCTGGAAGTTGGGATGATCCTGTTTCCCAGACCCATAGGAGTCAAGTACTGTATAATAACCAGGAGAAACAGCTAGGAGAAAGCAACCCATTGAGGAATTCCAAAAATCTTTTGGGGGCTGTGAGGTGGATTTATTTTGATTTGGGGCCTTTACCATCCAGTCTGGTTGTTGATGTGAACTCCATCCGTCAACCAATCCTGCCTCTGTCTATAGAGTCTGGGCTATCATGGGCTCTGGAGCTTGAGATGAGCAGGCTGGGCAGAAATAGCCATATTCCTAGAGGTGAGATTCAATGCCTGCAAGTTTCTGTAAAGATGTCTGTTTCTCATGTATCACATGCGGACCTGTTACTGGATACGGTGGGGTTGCTCACACCGGTGCATCTGGGTGCTTTTAATTTGAGGTCTGGTTCAAGCCCCCACCACACTGATCGGGGACAGAAATCCTTGCAGGCCCTGTGACAGACTGTGTGTCAGGGAGGCAAGGCCTTTACTAAGAATGGATTTTAAGAGCCTATAGAGAGCTCATTCGTCATCATTTCTTCCGTTCCTCTATGATGATGCAGTGTCCCTGGATTTTAGGTATTCCACTAACAAAAACTCAATTCTAATGTCTTGATTGTGATGTCCATTAGGAAACAATATAACGACCTCATCCAACTAATCATTTCTCATGAATAACTATTTAAGACAAGGCTAAAATAGGTTAAGTTTTTAAAGGAAGTTAGTTGTCAAGATATATTAAGTAGATAATTGTATTATGGGACACAGATATGGCAATGGTCAGAAATGTGGTACATTAATTGAACGATTCACTTTGGCAAATATTGTCCTAGAAGGTGCTACTTGGCCAAAGTCTTTTTTTTTTCTTTCCCTTACTCTCTTTTTTTAATCTTAGCATCTCAGAATGAAGCCGAATGGAAAATAAATTGCTTACAAGAAAAAAAGAGTTGCGAGCGGTTTTAATAAAGATTCTAGTAACTTTGAGAGAGTGTCAACAAAGACTTATTGCTTCTCTGGCACAGAGCAGGAGAACTGCTTATCTCCTCTTCAGATCTGGCTCCAGAGCCATCACGCCCTCTCCCCTCCAAGAGCAGGGATCCTAAATGTTCACGTACACTGCTATTTACGTATGCCCGCCATCTTGTTCACAACCACATCCACTGTTTCTCGTGGGTTCTGTGTGTGTGCACACACGTGTTACATGGTAACAAGATAATGCACCACGTCTAGGCTCCCCGTGTTATTCCTATTAAATGACAACACGGCGATGTTGGTGGCCCGTAGTTCTCCATTTTCTATTAACCACCCTGCCCAAGTAAACTGTTTTCTGATCTCTCCTAGATGGAAATCTTGCATGAACGTGGAAGCCATTAGCAGAGTAATTGCTGTCTGTTACCATGACAACCAGCCGCTGCAGTCACCTGCCGGAAGTGCTGCCAGACTGCACCAGCTCGGCTGCGCCCGTGGTGAAGACCGTGGACGACTGTGGCAGCCTCGTGAATGGGCAGCCGCAGTATGTCATGCAAGTTTCGGCCAAGGACGGGCAGCTGCTGTCAACAGTAGTGCGGACTCTTGCCACCCAGAGGTAGTACCGCTATTAAATAAATGAATCTGTAACTGAGCCGGAGCACTCTGTCAGATGCAGGATGCTAAAAGGAATGTAAACAGTGCTCAGGGCTTTGTGTCAGGTGAGAGGAGGTGCTGAGGGAAGAAAAAACTATACAAGTTCTCTGATCAGCGTTTCTATAGCAATGGGGTGTAATGCTAAAATCCACACTCCTGAGTTCTCCACTTAAAACACTTGCAGAGAGCCAGGCAGGGAAGGATCCCACAGGACACAGGATGGCTTTCTTTACCTGTGTTATTTGGACAATGCTATGGTAAATTACACTCTCTGTCGCCATGTGCTAACAAAAGTAGCTCTTTGTTAGAAAGGAGGGAAGGAGGCACCTGAATTCCAGTGACAAAGCCAAAGTGATTAGACTTGTGGGCAAAACTTCTGAAGTGACCTTCCTAGTGCTTGTGCTAATCAGCACCGCCTGGTGGGAGCACTATTCCTGGGTGAGTCGCTTCTGTGGTATGTCCCCACTCAGGAGTGGGGGCACTTCTGTTGCCCCCTCCTTTGCGCCCCATGGGCCCTTCACCCCTGATCCTTCACAACATACCCTGCCTGCCCCCACAGCTTGTCTCCCTTGGATGATGAAACAAAACAAGGCCATGGGCTCTGAGCAGCCCCGAGATGGCTTATCCAGGCCGGCACTTGGTCCCTGGAGCGCTCCCCTTGTCTGGTGGCAGACTGAGAGCCATGAGCTGTCCGGCCAATACGTGCTCCTTGGCTTCTCCAGCTTTCTTGCAGAACAGTTACGTGCAACTTTGATCTAATAATGTAAAATGCCTGTCAACACTGGACCTGCCCTAAGATGCCGGCACCGCCACTCCTGATTCTGGAAGGTTGGGCCAGTAACTCACATGTTGACTGCTTATCTGTGTCTGAGGAATGCAACCAAGCCCTACAGTAGAGATACAGGCCCACATGCAACTGCAGCAGGACTGTGGGTAGCACCACAGCGTTTTCCGTTACCCCAGCCTGGACACAGAAGCCACCAGACACAGACTTACACACTCATGCATCTTGTAAACATTCCCCACACACCGCCTTCTGCCAAAGGGATAAAGTAGAAGAAAGTCAATATATATGTTCCCACCTCTTGGAAAGCTTCTAACAATTGGTTTAGGACTCAGAATATGATGAGGCAATGAGCACCATTGCTCACCTGCTAACTGAGACAGATGACCGGGTGTACCCTGAAGCCTTCAGACACCTTGTTTAATCAGAAGAACAGGCTTGACTTAGACCTATGAGCCAGCTGTGTGAGTGTGTGTGTGTGTGTGTGTCTGTCTGTCTGTCTGTGTCTGTCTGTGTGCGTGCGCGCAGGCGCACAGATCAGGCATTTTCACGTGTTCTACCAGGTGCTCAGGTACACCAGACGATTTTCGACTTTCACGTGCATTTGGCTCAGTGGGAATGAAGGAGGCCAGGAATAGTCAGAGACAAAGTCAACTCTACTCCTTAAACTTCTTTCTCTCAGCCCTGAGCATGAGTGGATCCCATTTCTGGGCAAGTGGGAAGATTTTTTTCCTCTTTTAAGCCTTCACTGGTTCCCAGGATCATCCCAGAAAGGTCTTGGGAAACAGCAGTTACTTCCATACTTCCATGGCCATTTCCATTTGGACCAAAGATGGTGTCAAAGAGAGGGATGGGTCTAGGTTGGGCAAGGACCGGTGCAGAGGCTGTTCTTCAGGTTGGCACATACAGTGATAACATAGTTTAAAACCTAATGCCCAGTAAAGAAAAATATGAGAAGCAACATAAGAATATGTCCATCAGAAAGGAATAGTCCTCTCACAAAGACACAGTGTGCACTGGGAGGTGAGGCCATGTCAGTTTGAGCCCTCCATTGGCTACTAACTTCCCTGATGAGAGCCATGTCATTGGACTTTTCCTGACCTGAGTTTTTCTGCGAGCAGAAATAGTTACCACTAACTACGCATGTACTACAGGCTGGTCCCTATTCTAAGCTTCTGATTTGAACTGTCACTTCTCCTCACAGTCACACAAGAGGAAGACACCATTCGTGCAGCCGCTCTGGAAAACAGTGTGGAGGTTCCTCAAAACATTAAAAATAGATCTACCCTAAACCTTAGCCTTTTGCTGCTAAAATTTACCCAAGGGATACAGGTGATTACTGATGCATAGGGGTACCTGCACCTTGCTGCCCCAATATTGACCATGGCACTCTCAACAATAGCCAAGTGGAAAAGGAAGAGCCTAAATCCCATCAACCAGCAGTGAATGGATAAAGGGAAATTATGGTTATATACTGTGGAATACTACTTGGCAATGAGAAGAATGAACTATGATAGGCGTTTTTGGCATGGCGGCATTTGGATTGGGTTGCAGGCTAAGCAGACAGCCACCTAAAGGCTATGCAAACAAACTCAATGAAAAATCACCCACCTGAGAGAAATAAAAAGGTGGCTCGGCAGGCCCCACTACACCCTTCACGCCTGTGTGCACACTTTTTTTCTTTTCTACCCCAACATTCCTATCATCCCAGCAAATCAGTAGCATACACCACACACAGCTCCAGCAAGAGAAGGAGGAACATAAAACCAACCATGTGTGTTGTGTGTGTGTGAAGCGGAAAATCAGGAAAAAAAAAAATTCACCATGGTGATGAATCAAACTCCACCCACTGCGGTGTATGATATCTCCCCTAAAAAACCTAACCTGTAATATGTCGTGTTTCTAATCTAATAAAGGCTCTCTCCCAGCTGCACACCTGGTATGGATGGTGAATCTGAGACAGGTGAAGGTGAAAGAGTAATAAGCGTGATATAACAATGGACTGCATTTCTACACATGATCTTATGAAGTGAAATAATTGCCCTATTCCTGCATGGGATGGTGTTGAAATAATCTTGCACTTATAAGTGATCATCATGAATATCAAACAATAATTAATAATATTCATCTCTCCATAAATCATCTTCTCCCTCTCAATCATCTCTCTATCCTCTCACTAAGATCAATCCTGGCTCAGGCTCTCACCCTCTCACATAATAAGATAATAATAATAATCTCAAATGTGGTTGGGTGGCCCAGAGTTTTTCAGAGCTCCAGGCTGGGGTTCCCAGGCCCCAGGCACCACTCCCAGAACCCCACCCCACTCCCACTTGCCTCCGGGAGCCACCACACACATAAAATTGACATGCCTTCCAAAATCTTTTTGCCAGGGGGCTGGTTTTTCTACAAATTCATGGCAGGCTCACAGACTCAGGCCACCTCTTTTGGCAGCGAGGACACACCCATTACTTGGGTAGATTGGGCTTGTATTATCATAGCAGCCTACAAAATCAAAAGAAAAAAGGGGATCACTGCCTGCCACGCTCAGCTCACGGCTCTGAAAGGCTCAGACCTCAGTTCTGCTGTGCAGCAACGGGAGAGCTGGCTGCCGGTCTTCCACCCCACACCCCTCATTCTCCACCCATCTGCCAGGAAGGGAGGAAAAGAACCAGTGAGTTTTTTCCAAGTGTCTGGCAGTTCAAAAGGCAGAAGTTTGCCTGGAAACTACAGTTGGTGTCTTTTCAAAACAATTTCTGTTTTTGCAGGGCACCTGAATTTTACGTGCGTGATGATTTAGCGTCGACTTAATGGCCAGATCCATGATCTGCCGAGTCTGGGAGTTGCTTCCTGACCCCTGGCGGCGTCAGGCTCTGGGCTGATGGCTGGAGGCGGAGCCTGGAGCCTGTTTCGGAGGTCTGTCTCCCTCTCTCTGCCCCTCCCGTTCATACTCTGTCTCTCTGTCCCAAAAATAAATAAACGTTGAAAAAAAATTTTAAAAAAAAAAAAAAAAAACAATTTCTGTTTTTAAGGGTGAGGAGTAGTTTTTATTTTTCGATCGGGAGTCTGCCTGAACAACATTCACGTCCAAGACAAAAATAACACACTGCTCGCTTTCACCCACTTTTGGTCCCGGGCCATCCCCTGCTTCTTTATATTGGCGAAGGGAGATGCCCAAGGACCCCCCCCTCCCCCCATGTACACAGAGCGTACATCTAGGGTTTGAAAGCGAGCGTCTGTTGGAGCAGCTGCCACTGGGGAGGGTCTGAGGGACGCAGAGCCAGAGGACCATCCTCTTGGTGATGGTCTCCAGCCTGGTGACCAGCAGGCCCCCCTCCTTCTCTTGCAGCCCCTTCAATGACCGGCCGATGTGCAGAATCTGCCACGAGGGCAGCAGCCAAGAGGACTTGCTCTCTCCCTGCGAATGCACAGGGACCTTGGGGACAATTCATCGGAGCTGCCTGGAGCACTGGCTGTCATCCTCAAACACCAGCTACTGTGAACTCTGCCACTTCAAGTTTGCAGTCGAGCGCAAACCCAGGCCGTTAGTGGAGGTCAGTAATTGGGGCACGTCCTGAAAACTTAGCTCTAATGAGCAAATGATGTCTGCTTTGATGCCCAGATCACAAACCCCACGCAGCTCAATGAAGCACAGCGGGAGCAATGTGTAAGTGTGTGTGTGCGTGTGCATGTGTGTGCGTGACACAGAGAAACGGCTCACGAGCTCACTCTGGAGCCGACAGTAGAAAAGTGATCTCCATGAAGTGGAGACAGGAGATGGGAAAGCAGTGTGAGGAGAAAGGGGAAGTTTATAAAGTTGCTGTCCATTTTCCCGTTCCTGAGAAGTGAGACAATACTTTCACTTTGCATACCCTCTGCCCCAGTTGAAGCAACAGATACGTGGGCATTTGGCTTGCATACTCTGCGAGGTCTCTGTGAAAAAATATAGCTGCATAGTATAATGGATACAGACCCAGACTTCCTAGATTTGAGTAGTGCCATGACCTTCGGTAAGTAACTTTACCTCTTGAAATTACTATGAGGATTACATGAATTAAGATTTCTAAAGCACTTAGAAGAATACCAAGTACATATCCAAGTGTTTGAATAAAAAAAAAAAATCTCTCTTAGGAAATTATACACAAGCTTTTTTCAGTTAATAACCTAATATTGGAATCTCTTTTCTTAAAAGGAAGGCATTTCAACCCAGCTATTAAAATGGCAGGACACTCTTTCATATTTTAGGAGCCACACATTTCTACGTTAGACCAAGGGTCTGGTCTATGCATTAGCTAGGGGAAGTGGAAAATATCACTAGACTATTTTGCCCTCTCTCCTACCCTCAATGTCTATTAGACAGTTAAAAATTGGATGTTAGCAATAATAACTATTCTAATATATTATGAGCTGGAGCTAATTGAGAGAGACCAAGATCAAGATTATGTGCCTATAATCCAGACCCGCTGATAACCCACTCTTTATTTCAGCAGCTGACCCAGCGAAACTTGGGCATTAAGCTAGAGCTAGAAATCAAGACGCCCTTCTCAGAGACTATTTAAAACAGTATGTTAGCGCCTCAGCACTTAAGGCTCTGGAGAACTCTGTATGTACATGCTCTTGGGTTTGACCTTGAGAATTTAATCAGGACCTGTAACTGGGGCCTGTTTTAGCAATGGCTTACTTGCCAAATGGCGTAAAATTTATTGGACTTGCCTCAATTCACCCTATACTTTAAGACTCTGGATCAAGTGACCTCTTAATTTAGCAGCGTTGCTGCTTGACATCCACTCTCAGAAATTCATATTTGTAGAGTGCCTGTCAGGGATCTGGCCCCATGGCACGTTCACTGGGATTTACATTCCAGAACTTCTCTGCAGAAGGTGCATGGGGAGGTACATAATTAAATAATAAACAAGGGAGGTGGAAGATTTCTCAAGCCCGAAGGCAAAAGTTAAAAAAGAAGCCTACTTGTCCTTTCCAGAAACTTTCTGGAACCTCCCCAAGTTGGTATTGCGGCTTCCCCAGGGAAGCTAACTTCCCAGAGTTAAAAACCAAAAACAAAAAAAACCCAAACAAAAAAAACAACTCTGCTTTAAAAGGGCTGTGCATCCAGTGGTCTTGACTGGTCTCTCCCCGGTAAAGAAGACTCTTACTTTCACTTGGTAAAAACCCCAGTGTGTGTATGTGTGTGTGTATGTGTGTGTGTGCACACGTGTGCATTTCACATGCACACATCTTGGTTTTTCTCAGCTAAATTGCCTGCATCGAATCACCCAGTGAACCCCTTCCATCTCAGAGACAGAAACATGTACCTATACACAAAAGTTCTTCAAAGTGGCCTATGCTTGGCCACAGACTCTGGGACCTTAGGCAACTGTCACTAAACAAGGAAACAGGGCAAATGACCTTGAGAATGTGTGAGGTGCTCTGTAAGATTTAGGGCCATGCCTACAAAAACTTCACCCAAACGGTCACCAGTGGTGAAATTTTCATTGCACAAATGGAATGTGACATTTTTCAGAGTTAATGATGATTGAACAAGTTGAAAGTGAAAGGCAAACCTTCTCAAGCCGGGGGAGGCTGGCCGTTTGATCATCCCATGGCGAAATGAACTTGCTGTTTGACCACAAGCAATAAAAAGAAGTTGTCTTTGGTTTCTCAGCTGGAGGACAAATGAGAACCAGGTGCAGGCATAGTTTTAAACAAATGACGTTACTAATTGACTTTTCCTCTCTTACCAAAGGGCAGGCTTATCCACACTGAGCTTTGCTTAATATTTTTATCTCGAGATAACCATGAATTTTTTTTCTGGAAAATCAGCAAAACCTGCCTATTGGGGTTAAGCATTCGGAGTAGCTTTACTTTATTTCTTGTTTGCACTCTTCCAATTGCGTTAATCATTACGTACCAGTTGGATCTGCCTTCTCATTAAGGCACGAAAATTCTGTAACAGTGAATTTCAAAATCAACATAATAATAACAGCTTCTTGTTTGCTAGAGGAAGTGGTTGAAAAAGTCATTTATAAATGTTATTTGTCAGCACCCAGGGGTTAGCAGTGGTCAGAATCACTGTCACACCTCAGACTCTCACACTCTTCCATAAACTCCCCCAGTCCTTCCTTCAAAGTAAACCTCATCCTCCATATCTCCACTGTTGAGAAGACACTGCCCCATCCATTCCTTTCCTGCACTCTCCGCACCCAGCAGCTGGATGTTCATTTGTAACCGATCAGAAACCCAAGGTTTCTGTCTACGAGTTTCTACCCATCATGGCCAAAATCAATGGACTGGTTCTCATTAGCACCTCCAAAGTGGGTATCACCTCCCCATTTAGCCACTGTCCATCTGTGTGGCATGCCTCAGTTTCTCAGAGCTGCAGGACAATGAACTGGGGGCTCTCCATTATATCCTTGGTCTCTATGAATACATTCAAAAGCTATATCCCACACTTAAAAATGAGAGCATTTCATGGTACTTGATTTATAACTCAATAAGGTGACTCTGTGTGTGCCCATCTACTAACCTTCCTACCTCCACGGCCAGACCAAATCATTTAGTCTCCTCTGGTAAAATCACTGCCAATATTATATCCTAATTTTTTTTTTTTTCCTGCTAAGTAAGCCAGTATAACAAGAGAACTACACTGTGATCATCTGGTTTATTTGGATATGGGTGAATTTCCTCCAGTCCAGCTTATGTAAATCTCTTCAGGTCTGTGTCAATCAGCCAAAGCTTGAAAGGGAAGCGTTCAAACTGCACGTAGCAGAAAGGAAGAGCAGATAAGACACATTTCACACCTCAACAGCTAGTACTTCTGTCTTATAAAGGCTACGTATTTTTCATCGATGATGGAAATTTTACCCAGTGGCAATTTGTCAGATAAAGTATCCCCAAGAATAATGACCTGGTAGAACGCAGTAAATAGACATCCACTAACCATAAAAGGATTCACTGAATGACCAGCCCGGGTGGTTTTATGGGCTCCTTCCTGCTCATTTTTAGTTTTCCTCATTTCTCTCTGTAAATTGAACTCTGATGCCATTCTTTTATAACAAAGGGAAGAATACAGAAACCCAATAAAAGTACCATGATGCTTTCCCAAAAACGTGTGCCTTGACTCCCGACTACCACTGTGATTGTGTATCTGATTGAGCAGTTTGCCAAGGAAACCCATCTTATTACGTGCAAACAGCACGCTTGCAACATGAGTTTCCACTGATGGGAGTATCTGGCACTGGGCTTTCCTGAGACATGTATCCGTAACACCCATGCTTTCCCAGGGGACTTATGAAGTAATAGATCAGCTCAGCAACGTCCTGATTAAAATGAAATAGCCAGGAAATGGTGCAAATCTGGGGGGTGCGGGGGGCGGGGAGGAGGCTTTCTGCGCTCTGATCTTCCTCTGATCAAGGAGACATGGTGATTTTTCACAGAGGGAGTGATTAGGTTTCCATACTTCTAGTTCCTTTACACAGACCCAG